TCTTGGGACACAGTTATAGCAGAACTTGTTATGTACAGTATCTAAGTCACATGACAAAAAGGTGGATGAAGCTGTAGAGAGCACAATCACAAACAGTCATGTTTATAGTGTGTGCATAAGGACCACAGTCAACACACGATAAGTCCAATTACAGAGATACAACAATTTGCTCACGTGCAGAACATAGTGGTGGGAGTCAGAGATATCTGGTGCTTTGTACAGCAAAGACAATATGAGGAATTGCATGGGATCACATGGGACTCACAGAGACTTACTGCAGAGGAAGGAGATGAGTACAAGAGCTAGGTGTCATCCAAGTTGGAAGTGAATCCCTCTCAAACAACTAAAAGCATGCTCTGAGTGCTGCAGCACAAGTGCTTCATATTGTTTTGTTCTTTTTCTGTGTCAAGGTGCAGAGTGGAGTGAGTATCCAGAGTAAAAGATGTTGTTAGATTTTTTTAAATGTCAGTTTTCAATGCGATCATCACAAACATAATTCCATTTATCTCCATTTTATTGGGTGTTGAAGCTGAACAATCACAAGTTAGTGATTAAATATCCTTTTACTCATGTTCTTAAACAGACTGAAGCTTAGTCTATGTGGGTTCATATGTTTCAGCTGGATCCTGTCATGGATCTTGGGCTATCAGCACAGGCACAATAGTAACTGTACTAAATGTACTTGTATCTGTTGCTTTAAAGTGCCTCTACTATAAGTCATTGATCTGCTGTACTTCTGATGAAGGAAATCTTGATCAGACAACACTTCATGAGGATGTATAGACTCTCACAAGTTAAAAGCACATCAGACATTGTCTTCTATTAGAATATGTACACACACTGTATATCTTCCCAGCACACTGCATGAAATATAAATGCGGTGTGCTCTGTTTTTGGATGCCCTGGGAAAAACCCAAACTTTATTTATTCAAATCATCACTGGGTTATTTGATCACTTCAGGGAAAACCCTGCAATCTTGCCTCAGCTCTCAACTCAGTGGCAATCAGAGTCATGAGTAGCATTCAGTGTTGTTACTTAGGTAAGGTCGGTTTTCAATTTTTAAAGATTAAATTATTCATCTGCTCGGGAAAACAATATTTTCCCTTGAGCTTTCATGAGTCTATTTAGCATAAAACTGTCAACTATAAACAATGGTCTGTTTTCAAATCTTCATGAAATGACAACTCCAAACAGCTATCTGTGCACTCAGAAGTATGGACCATTGTTGTTATGAAGCAGAATAATGCAGTGTTTTGTAGCATGACTTTAAGAGAGGAAAGGGACTATAATTCTGGGCCAGACACTGTAAAGCTCCATCAATGCCAAGCGGGGCATGTCATGATAAGTACAAGCAGGTTTGTCTTTGATCAGGGCCAGGGAAGGGAAGGCTCAGTGTGAGAGGACTGCAGATAAGCCTGCCTCTCTCCAGACTAGTGTAATTACAGCACTCTCCTCTCCTCTCCTCTCTTTTCCCTTCTCTTTTTAATTTACTGTTTATCCCTGGTTTCAATTGTATTCTCATAATCCCCCTGTGTGACTCTCCATATCACCTACAGGTGATCAGTGGGTCCAACCTACCTGTTCCCAGGAGTGGCAAAGCTCTGGACCCCTTTGTCAGAGTGGAGATTCATGGGATTGCATCTGACTCCCGCAGAAAAAGCACACATACTGTCAAAAACAATTGTAAGTACTGCAATTCAAACTGTACACTGGTCATGTTCGAGCATCTCAACACACAGCTTGACTGGCTCAGCTCTACTTTGTCAGACCTGTCTCTACTTTCATCAATCTAAGACATACTTTGTCAGATTTATCTCAAGATCTGTGAGATTCAGCTGATAATATTCAATCTTGTTTTGAGTTTTGCAGGCTCCTGTTCTGTATTTGTTCTTTCTTTCTCACATTAAAAATGGTGCTGATGAGGCAACAGCCATCAGTACTGAAATAATAGACATACAAGACTTAGAGTCTACAGCCATGCTAGCTGCTCTGTGGAGCTGTACTCAGACAAAGCAGTAACAAATATTTGGTCATAAACTAAAGTATTGTACAAATTAAAATGACCTGATGATGGAGCTAGATGAAACGTTGTCACAATTCATCCTAAGGGGGAAATAAATATCAGTACAAAATTTCATACTAATCCATTCAAAAGCCGTTGAGACATTTCATTCATAACCGCAAACATCAACCTTATAGGCATTAGAGGAAAAGTCATGGGATCATCCTTCAAAAACCATGAACATCTTTATGAAACTTCATGGCAATCCATCCATCCACGACCAAAGTGGTGGACTGGCAGGATGAGATTGCCATCCACAATAAAGCCAGAGTTTGCAGATCTCTGGTTTTATTCATAGAAAGTACCAGCACATTGTGGGACAATGTAGACCTTTAAGTGGAAACCACCTGAACTGGATTCTATGCAGTTTTCTATGACAGTATTTTGTGGTGTCTGTAGGGTTTTCCATTACTTCCTTTTAAATGTATTTCCCAGTAAACAGATGTTTGGCTTCTGAAGAGAAATGTGCTGATGAGTTTCTTCAACATGTAGAAGTGTATTTCCTTTGAAGAGAAGTCTGTCATGTCACTATTGCTATGACTGGAAACATGGAGCAGTCACTGCACCCTGGATGAAGGGCTACAGTGATTTTAAGCATCAACTGGATCCTCATGCATACACACATTTTTCATGTTCAGAAGTAACATGGTACCATATCACATCAACATTCATAATGAGTAAGTGTTTATAATGATAACTATGAAAATGATTGTTTGGGTCTTACGTTTACAGCCTGTAACTATCATCAGACTTTCAAGTGTGGGAATTAATCCCTCAGCTGCCGAGGTTTTTGACAGACCTTTCATATTTTAGGTGGTGCTCAGCCCTGAACATGCAGCTTGTTTCCTTTGATTTGAACCTGCATTTTCAAAAATGGCTACACGAAAAAGAACTTAAGACCAAAACATAACATTAAGCGATACAGTGCCGTGTTGCTGCTGCTGAGATGAGACAAAGAGGGTGGGAGAGATAGTAAAGAGTCCTGGAGGGTGCAGAGTGCTTACGCATGAGCATAAATCATAAAATCATTTCACACTATGAAATGGATGAGGTCACTGGTGAATACAAATGAATGTAGATTTAAGAAAATGTAGACAGAACAGAGGAACTGAAGCATATTGCTTTGAATCAGAAATTGGTTGTGAATTGCAGCAGAGGTGACTCATTAGTTATCTACGTGTTCTCTCCTGAACGCCGAGCCCAACACTTGTCATGTATCGTCATCATGACAGGGAGACTATTGTGCATCTGATAATTGCTTATTTTTCTATAGATGGAAAAGTCCATCTACGGGTCTGCCACTTTCAGACTCAACAATTATTAGATGGATTGCCAGGAAATTTTGTCAAAATTCAGGATGGATTGTAATAACTTTCTTAATTTCCTGGGGTGCCCTGGTGGCTCACCTGGTAGAATGCGTACCATAGAGGCGGCCCGGGCTGCTATGACCTGCACATCATCCCCCCTCTCTCCCCAACTTTCCTGTCTCTCTCTCACACTGTGGCTATCCAAATAAAGACAGTAAATGCCTAAAAAAATACTTTAAATTTCCTGACTTTTCCTGTAGTGCCACCAACAGGTCTGAAAATTAATTCAAATTCTTGTAAAACTAATGACATTCCCCTCAGCTGTACTTTTTGTTTAGTGGTAATTATGAAATATTAGCTTGCTAACAGGCATCATGGTTACACTTACTTAACATCAGCCATTGTCACTGTGAGCATGTTAGCAAGCTTACATTTTGAATATCACTTCTTAAAACAAGCTTTTTCAGAGAGGCTTTTCTTTAACTTGTGTCTACAGTTTTGGCTTCATAATAATGTAACTTTGTGTATTGTTTTAAACTTTCAGTAACACATTGTGGCCAGATGAGCAGAAACAAGCTACAAACACAACACTGTCATGGCAAACTCGTTTCTGGACACCTTTAGCTCTGTTTTTGGTCTCTACCAACTCCTGAGGGAAATATCTCACTCTTTAGTCACTAAATGATCCACTATGTTCACCAGCTAGATACCAACTAACCAAATTTTTTTTACTAAAAACTGCCACCTGCTATGAGAGTGGTCAGACTCAGCCAGAACAGTAAAGCTGTGGGCTGAAAGCAAAACACAGATGCTTAAATGCTCCATAGAGCTGAGGAGACCTGCAGAGTCCAGTGATCATTTTCTGTGTGTTTGTCATTACAAATGATCCCTGTCATGTGATCCATTATTAATATAAAATATCTATTATAGACACTAAATCCATCAGTGCTTATTGATGGAAATGAACTGGTTAATTCTGCTTACCATTACAGCTTTGAGTCCTCATTGGGATGCTGACATGAACTTCAACATCAGCGTCCCCGAGCTCTGCCTCATCCGCTTCTGTGTCCGAGATCAGACCGGCCTTCTCAGCAGCGAGTTTGTGGGCCAGTACACTCTGCCCTTCACCAGCCTGAAGAAAGGTGAGCCACAGAGGCAGCGGGTGGGGGGTTGGGAGTCAAATGGAGATAAATTACATGGAGGTGACATTGCGTGACCAATTATTGTATTTCCCTTCATTCACCATGTCAGCATTACTGAAGGTTGGCCTCTGCTCTGTGCTTCAGTTTTTATGGAAATGCTCCAGTGTATCTATATGATGCTTATGTATTTAGCAGCTATACATACATTTCTTTTCATGCCCCCCTTCCTTCTCCACCTCCAGGCTACCGCTGGGTGCCTCTCCTGTCCCGAGACGGATGCAGCCTGGATCCAGCCTCCCTCTTTGTTTTTGTCTGGTATTCCTAAAAACAGCTCTCCCTATCAGACTCTCTCTCTCTCTCTCTCTCTCTCTCTCACACACACACATACACCTCACCAACAGATAGAGAAGCGTGGCTGATGCAGCAACAACAACAACAAAAATATATAAATAAATCAAAAGCACCATTTCCTCAGATATAAATACCAGTTTTATTGTTAGAAAATAAATGTGCCTTTCTCTACTGCCTGCACACTGTGCTGCAAAGGAAAACAGGAGAAGAATAACTCTCTGCTAGAATCACACAAGTAATGCAGGAATCCCTGGAGTGACATATTTGGCTCTTATAATGAAATGAATAATTGATGCATGTACAATTATTGTGGTAGAGTTGATCACACATAAGACAACCAACCACAATATAGTGTTTTTGATTAATCATCTGTTCAAAAACAATTGATGTCATTCTTATGTTGGGGCTGAAATTGTTGTGCGATGCCAGGATACATTAATACTCCATGAACATTACTATGAAAGAGTAGCAGCCAGCATTTTCTTCCAAGCCTACCTCCCTGTGAGAGACCCAGCAGGGAATAATATAAATAGCATTCACAGAGGTATACATTATTGAACCAAATCCAGTGCAGGGGAGTCTATTTCTATCCTCGTTCATCACTAAATCCTATGAATGAGGCTGAGGGGAGTACGGGTCAGCAGGCCTGTCAGGAGGAGAACGGCATTAAGACCTGCCTTAGCCTTGAAAGAGAGAGAGTGAGTGTGTGTGCGCGTGTGTGTGTGTGTGTGTGTGTGTGTGTAGGTTCTTTTTCAGGGGTGTTTTTGTGGGCATCTGAGTGTCTGCCTTTGCGGGTTTTGTGCATGCATGTGTATAACTGTGTTTGAATGCCACTGACGGATAAGACAAAGATGGGGTTGGGGGTGGGTGTTAACTCAGCCCCTGAGGCCAGAGAGGCAGTGTTGTCATCCTGCTCACACACTCTCCTAGCCCCTCTCCTCCCTTCCTCACCCTCCTGCCTCCCACCTCCAATTCCACTGGTCAAGGACACAGTTGACACAGCCCAAAGGGACAAACACATTCAGTCTGGGCAGGTAACAAGCAGGCAGCTCCTAACAGCACTGCATCACCTCCCCCTTACTCTGTCACATTGACAGTCTCGACCACACACATTTACAACAACAGTTTTCACTCACAGTGACGAAAACAAAGTTTAAGTAGAAATGAAAGTGCAAATATGATAATAAAAGTAATAGTTTCTCTCCTTTATCCATCACCGAAGGTACATCCATAAAATCAAACTTAGTTAGCAAATGTCATATGATTAACATTTAAAAATAAATGGAAGAGGTGAATGATGCTTCACACAGTAAACAGTCTCTTTCCCTGAGTATTTTTTACTCAGCTTTGTAACTTTATCCAAACACCCCATCCACTGCCAGTGTATTCAGCTCTGGACTGAGGTTAGGTTGCATCTGATAAATAGGTAAAAATGTCAGTGCAGAGTTCCTCCTCTCAGGTGAGTTTGTCTCCCTTTAACAGTCTGAAAAAAAATCTCTGAATGGATTCTCTCCTCTCCCTCAGTGCGGCTGCACCCCCTGCTGGCAGCAGGCGTACAGTGCAGCGCTCTGATGTCAGATTGCACAGTTCCCCAGGGGAAACCATGTTTCCGTGTCAAGCAGCTTGTCATCCAGTTTAATGTTGGTTGCAGCCACAAAAGTCTTCTTGCTCTTCACTGTCACTTCCAGCACCATCCCATAGAGCAGTGAGACAGAATTATACTCCAGCTGTGAACAGGAGGCAGATATTTTAGTTATCAAACAGCTCTGCATTCAGAACACGCAGTAAGTAATTTTAGAATATTTGTACTGTACTGTTTGGCTTTTATCTGAAATTTCAGGAACAGAAACAGGATGGGGTTTTTTGTTCTAGTCATTTGAATCTGTTAAGGCTTTACTTTGCAACACAGAAGTAAGACGCTGTTAAGTTCGTGGGAAGCTACTGGTCAGAGTCTGCTGGATTCAACACTCAAAGATCACATCAGACTCGCACAGTGAGGAGAGTGGCGCCGCAGGCAGAGCTCACAGTAAAAGTGAACATTACACAAAGTCAGAGAGAATTTGTAGAACTTTGAGTGACAGCACATCATCTCAAGAGGGTCTCGATATACAAAATATTGATAAAATAAATATAAATATAAAATATTAAAAATTTAAATGATTAATATTTAAGTTTGTCAATACTGAATGAATATGAGCCTAGTAAACATCTCTTCCACCACAGCCTAATTTTTTTACTACTCTCTGCGCTAGGTTGCTGTACTATACTGGTTTTGTACAGTGGGGTAGGTTTCATCATTTTTCATAAAGTTGAAGCTGAAATAACAGGTTGTTTTGGCCTCGTGGGGACATTAGGAACAAACTGAACACAACACTGACATATTATCACCTTATAAGTTAATATGGAAACTGTAGCCGATTTAGACATCCAGCAGACAAGAAGCAACATTACCGTTCATTTGAGGTTGTGCATATGTTCACGTGATGAATTTAAGTCCAATATTTTCTCTCTTTTAGCTCTAATGTTGGTCTCCCATCAATTTCTGAGGCTCTTCAGCTGCTGAATACACCACTATGTTCATCAGCTAGTTGCACAGCTAGTCTTTTCCCTTGTGTAAAACATCTGTTCATATATTGAGGGTATCAGAGAAGGGGATTTACCAGTTCATTGAAAGTGGGGTTGTCATTATTGCGGACCACCTTTGTCTTCCTCTTGGAGCGCTGGTGAGGGTCCGGTCTCAGACGCGTGACCACATAGGCGTCAGGGTTAGAGCCGTTTGCCTGCTTCTGTTGAAAAACAAAAGACCAAAGGTGACAGCCTGCTCTTGAGTATTTCTGAGGAAGAACACATTTACTATGTTTGCTTTCATCTTGTTTAATGATCCAAAGAATGCAATGATAAGAGTGAAGCAAACTCACAACGTTCTTCAGGTGTTTTACCAAGACCGAGAGCTTAGAGTTAGCGTAAGAAATGTACAGCTGGATCTGAGGACGGGCTCCTGCAATAGATCAGTGCATCAGTGCCAGTAAATCATAGCATAGCATGTCTTATATATAAACGATCATCAGTTTCCCCCAGACATAGCACAGAATCAACCTTCACATTTAAAATATTGCCTTTAGCAGCAAAGTGTTCTTTTCATTTGAATCTTTTATAATCTTTTTTTATGCATCCACTTTTTATTTAAGAGCAGAAAATTACCTGTCGCCACACCTTCTTGGACTATGCTGGGGCCATCCAGGAACAAGCTGCAGACATATTCATTCTGCAGGAGCCCGAGTGAGATGGGACAGCCAGTTAGAGCCAAGCATAACAAAAGATCACAACAGAGAGAAATCAACCAGTGATGCAGAGTGAGGAACTTACTCCCTTGCATGGTCCCTCAAAAAGCTGTTTTAGGTATTTATTCAGCAGAGACATCTTCCTGGCTGGAGTGAATGACATCTTATACCAGCTAGGAAACCTTTAAGGGGAGATGCATCAAATTATGTTATAACCAAGAAGGAAATTCTAAACAAAATAAAAGAGCCATCGTATGTGAGCTGGATGTGCATGTTTTTTTTCTTCACTCACTGAGGCAGCATGGATTCAATGAAGTATTTCTGCAGCTGCTTATGGATCAGCTCAAACTGCCCGAATGTCTTCTCACTGGTCAGATAACCATCGTGAATGGTTACTCTCAGGGCATAGATCTGCAAATCAAACAAAACGAATGCTTTCATGAGGATGCAGGGTGAATAAATGAGGACTGACTGTTGATAACCCAGGATCCATGTTGAAACTCCAAGGCAGGTGCTACATGTGGTCCATGTTCTTAAACAGCTGATTCCCACCTAACTCCATCAACGCTCTCTAGTAACTGGCCCACAGCTGATGGGAGAGTTTCCCCTCAAGGATTTGTAAAGCATCATATTCTAATAGTTTTATAGTGCATCTGTCTTAAATCTTGACTTGATAAAGTTTATTATAATTTTTATTGTTATTAACTCAGTTAAGAATGTTACAAGCGAATAAAACCCATGCAGGGTGATCCTATAATTTACAATTTGTTTATTAGACCTCTGCAAACTAAACTCAAGGGGTTTTGCCTCCATAACCACAAGCATTCAGATAATTACTCTTAACCAAGAAGCTTCTGTATGGGTTTATCTGTTTTATGTTTCCTCTGTTTAAGTATTTATCAGAGAATCCAAATAAAAAAAAAGAATGTGGGAAACTGAATTTGCGTGTTTATACTGTGCTAACAAAACAAGCACTACTAGCACGCAGAAGCAGAGAAAATTATGAGTGCCCACATGCTTATATTTAACTTTTGATCTATTGGGAAACCATTTATTTATACTTCTGGGCAACTTGAGAAAATCTCGGTGCTTCTGCTTTGACTGAAAAGGCGCTTCATTCTACCTTCAAAGAGTTTAACCTGACATCAGGAAGCTTGTTCCGATCAAAGAGCAGTGAAATGCCAACAAACACCAGTAACAGTCCTCAGTCGACTCTGGAGGGTGAGGGAATAGAGACACATCCTGTGAGTGTGTGACAGCAAACACACACACAGTCAGCTGAGTGCCAGGGGTTACTCCTCTCAGACCAAATATGTGTGAACTTCCTGTCAGTTCCACATGTTTCATCAGCTCCCCTGGCTACGAGGATCCAACACAAAGCTCTGTGGTGCATCAGGCAAAATCTCTCAGTGACATTTTGTTATAAGAATGAAAACTGAGGCCAGCGTTTTCTGTCTGAATTACCAAAGCACAAAGAATACATGCTGCCTCACCACATCTTTTCCCTTGACGGTGTATCCCTGGATAACAGCTTCTTGGATGTTGTTGCTGGGACTAGGGATGCCCTCCCTGGCTCTTGATTCTTGTTTCTTCCCTTGAGCCATGCTGTGTGTCAGGAAGTTAAACTTCACTGCAACACAGCCCATGCTCTCTTTGATCTTCCTACATCAGGAGAGAGACAAACACATATAATAAGTGTCACATTAATACAACTGCAGAACTAAAACAGGAGAAGAAATGATTTGGCTCGAACGACAGACTGTGTACATTTGTGCATTAAATTACTTGTTGTGCATTAAATTACTTTGTAAAGTACGATGTGGCCTCCAGGTCAGTGTCATGAGGTCTGAGGTTGTTCTGAACATACTGCAGGTCATTAGAGTCCTTCAGTTCTGGCATACCTGCGTGCAGCATCTGGAAACCACACAAATGAAAAGATGTTCTACATCACATTATCTACTCTCAGATATAGCTGTAACCTTATTACTGAGGAGATGAGGTCTTACCAGCTCCAATAAGCTGAGTATCAGTGCAGAGCGCCCCCTGATTATGTTGTAAGCTTCACAGCAGAGCTCCACAAAGCGATGCAACCACTGAGGCTTCTGCCCCCCACCTGTGATGAAGTGCTGCATCTCAGATGTAAAGATGAATGGTGACCGGTCCCTATCATTGCAAAAAAGAAAAACGAGTGGTGGATGTGGATAATTCTTGTTAATACACAACATTGTCTTTGACTTGACATTTTTATGCATCTCTCTGCTACTCAAACACAAACAACACTCTTCACTTTCAAAATGCTGCTTGCCTTTTTTATTGACTTGCCTTTTAAAGTTTCCAAACTTCTGTGCATTGCCCATAATTTTGCCAAAGTCAATGTGGAACATGTGTCCACTGTGTTTCAACATGATGTTGTCGTTGTGGCGGTCACAGATCCCCAGGATGAACGTGGCCACGCACCACCCTGCGCACGAGTGGATGAAGTTCATCACAGCCTGCACATACACAGTGGGGGAAGGTTACACAATTTAACATAAACATGTCACAGCAAACTGAATATTCAAGAGTACAGTCAAGCATCTACAATAGTAAAGTAGAAGATATCAAAGATTTTGTAGTGGTCTTAACCTTCTCATAGTCCTCCTTAGTTTTATTCCACATATGGAACCATTTCTCCAGTGTGTCCTCACGAAGGGTCCCACCCAGACCCCACTCCTGCTGAATCTTCCCCAGGGTCACTGCCTCTGGAACCACTTCCACCAGACCTGACAACCACATAGAATATAAGCATAAGCAGTGAAAAAGATAGCAGAGATACAAGACAAGGGAACTACTAATGTACATTCAAAAACACAAGTAAATCAAACAGACCCTGAGCTTTGCCTGTAGAAAGACACCTGTAGGTGACCATTCGGAGGTCCAGCCCCTCCTGCAGCCACACCCTGTCCATCACACGGACTATCTGAAGTACCAGCATGTCCTGACGCAGGTTATCTCCTGTCTGAACAACACATGTTCTTTGACTCAGCAAAAGAGAGTGACATGAATTCTTTATTTTCCCTTGAAGGGAACTGGGAGAAAGACAACGTTGATCAATAAAGTACCATACCTTGCAGATGACACTGACGTTCTTAGACAGAGGGTCAGTACTGATGAACGTGATCCCCAGAGGAGCAGCATTAGAGTTGTAGAACTTACAAGCCTATAAGTAACATATGAAAGGAGTAAACACTCCTCAGAAATGGCACAGTGCTGTGTGTATAGTAAATAAGAGTAATGATATATAGGTGTAATGTGTTGTGTGACGTTCTTACATCCAAGGCCACTGCCTTAACACGGACTGCAGGATCCAGTGGGAGACAGCAGCTGATCCCATCTTTGAAGAAGTCATCGATCTTCTGCTTTTCTTTGTTCAACACATTCTGCAGACAAATGCATTCAATGAAAAAATGGAAAAAATAAAATGTATAACTTGCACGGTTATAGTCATTAACAGTAGAGGATTACGAGTCAGTAAGTGAGCGCATACATGAATGGGTAGATGAGAGATCTATTTACAGACCTTACGTCGAGCCTTGTCGGCGGTGCGGACATTCTCAGCCACCTGTACAAGCACGGACACCAGTCGGGTTTCATGCTCAAGCTCCTGCCTCAGTGTCCGGCCACAACAGTGTCGCAGAACAGCCTTAATCTTACTGTACCAACTCTGGTAATAGGGGTCGCTGTGGGCATCCTCCAGCAGCCTGCCAGCATAGAAAACAATAATACATGATGATGATAATAAATTAACTTTACTACACAGTGCATGGACTGTGTACACAGTGCATGAAAACACAGAAATTAACACAAAAGCAAAGACATCAGTGTATTTTGCATAAAGTAGTATTACTTTATATTCATTTCTTTTTCAACATTACTGGTGATGAATGAGATTTTACTTTCATGCAAACTGTCATTATGTTGATACAGTGAATGAAACTACGACAGTGCTCCAAATCTACATCCCCTCAGTTTGATGACTCTGCTGCTCACCAGAAGAGTTGCTGGGCTAATCTTATGTTCCTCATTGATCTCTCCAACAGCAGCATCACCAGAGGTCCATCCAGCTCCCACTCACTCTTCAGAGCCTGCAGGACAGGATGATTGATCATACACGTCACGCATGACATCAAACTACTGAGGAATCTGCAAAGTGTTCCCCCTCTACTACTAATACTGGTTTCTTCCTGTGCTGAAATATTAACTTGTAAAGCTACTGATACCTGAAGGATAACATGGAGGTGGGTATGAATTGTATTTTTTCACTCAGAGTGAGTAATAGTTAGTGATGGATGTTGGTGTGCTCACCTGGACCAGCTGTGGCAGATACACCTCCAGGTCTTCATCTGGGATCTGTTCAAAGAATTGAACTGCAGCACGCCGCACAGTCTGATCATGAAAACTGAAAAAGACGTATTAAAGTTACCAAACAAGACTTATGGAAACCTGAATCATGGTTGCGATCATGGCCGTAACTTTAGGTTACTGGTCTGCTTGTCGTATTAAGTTTACTGTTCCTACAAAACCAAGTTATATTTCTGTTCATAAATTAATGTATTTCTAGTTACACACACAGTTTTCTTATTCTTTTTTCCTTTGACTGCTTTCAGCTTTTTGACCAACAGTTTCACAACAAAATAAACATTTTCCCTTGTACTGTATATTATCTATTTGTGTCAGTCTTTGTGGCTTTGCATAATGCCTGTGTATATTTTTTGCACGTGAACCTTTGTAACCTGCCTGTCACTCAGCAGGAAGAGGGCCTCCTCCGGCAGATACATGAGCCAGTTCTCTACGACTGTATAGATTTCTGTCAAGTATTCAGGTTGCCACAGTTGGACTCCACCCAGCATCAGGTGGAGGAAAGTACATCCTTTGTCACCACAGTGACGCTTCTCCCAGAGGAAAGTCTTCTCATTTTCTGTTAGACTGAGAAAAGAGAGATTATGGTGTTTGATAGAGAAAGCAGTTCTCAACATAGAAGTGAAAACATTATGTATGTCCAAATATATGAAATTGAGTGCTGCACATATACCTGTATGTTAATTCATAATGTAATGCGTGATGTTTTCTTCTACTCACAAGCAGATGCAGTGCTTCTTAGAGACGTCCAGCATTTTCTTTTGCAATTCCTCACAAGCCTGAGAGAATACGACTGAACCGGTGAGTGCGATGGGCCTCTGGTACGTCCACTTATACTCATTTTGAAACTCAAGCTGGAGAAAAATGGAAGGATGAAAGATTGTGGTGTCGTTTGTGTTTTGGTCAACAGAGGGCACAGTTGTTCAGTATTACTGACCTGCATTATGACTCCAATGGGTTGTGTGTGGCTGTCAAACAGGGCAGGGGAGGGAGGAGCAGGCGACACCGCCAGTGTGGACAGACTGAGCAGGACGGTCCCTGCTACAAGAGTGCTAGACACAGAGTACAAATACTATATGTCACTAATTACTGTGTATACTGGTCTGCATTAGAGCTCAGGATATTATCAAAAAACAGGGAGTTTCTCACTTGTTCAAGCATAGTATAATAGAAAACACATTCTAGCTAATAACAATAACCTTTCTTAGTATAGCAATTAGTAGAATTTTAATTGGTTGGGTAGTAGTAGAATTAATGGGATGTAACTCATGAAAAATTAAACCTGCTCATTATTTAGAGTGAGCAAGATAAAGAAAATAACATAAGCAACAATAAAACTGATCTGAAAGCTGTTACTGACTCAGCAGGATAACACACTGACAATAACAGAATATAAGGTTTTCTTCATTTGGCTCCAGAGAAAATCCTTCATGCTGCATCCTAAATAGTCCGTAGATGTCTGACTGTTGACTGCGGCAACAAAAGAGCACTGCAGTCGAAAAACTGATCATTATTCCAAACATGTAAAGCATAGAAGCGACAGAAATTTGGTGCATCCCTGTTTTGTTTTTTTAAGTCTAGTTAGTTAAAGGGTAACTTTGCCAATTTTGGAATACTACTCTGTCTGTGAAAACATTTGCAAGATGTTGTCTGTGAGTTTGGAGGAGGATGATGTCATCAGAGGTCATTTTGGTTTGGGCACAGAGGCTACAGTTTCATGCCAGAAAGCCTACACGTGTGATACAAACTATGGTTATGGAGTTAGTTAAAAATGTGGCCATTTCCCAAGCAGGGAGGGTCCAGTGAAAAGATCCTATTAGATGCATCATGGAAAATGTAGGATAGATCAATGTTGGAGCTTAAAGGATAGGTACATGTTTTGTATGTCTTAAAACAATAGTCAGGTGCCCAGCTGAACACTGAAATAGCTTTTGCTTGTTATAATCAGTCCTCCTGCTCACTCTGGCCACTGACAGATCCCCTCCTTACTTTAAATGTAAGTGATTCAAAGCCCTTTGATGTGTGCAAAAATATTTTCCAAAGTTTATCTGAAGAGGCTTCAATTGTCCTTATTAGATAAATCAAATATCTTCCAAAGTCATAGTCTGCTGGTTTGACCCATCTCTTAGTTGTTAATCCCCCGACTTTATAGAAGTGCAACACTGAATTACTAGTTTGAGTAATCTACTCCCCTCAAAACCCCTCTTAAATTTCTCCAAAAAATATAACCAAAAACTGGTGGTAGAGAGGTGTAAACTGTTGTAGGCAACATACCGGTTGCTGTAAAGAGGTAGTACGGCCCAGCCTAAAAGCTCTGGGCTCTTTCCTTTCTTAGAGCCTTTGAGGTGAAATGTCAACATGCTCTCATATGGCAGCTCTTTCACTGGAACCGGGAAGACCATCCTAAAATCAAACACACACACACACACACACACATACATGCTTACTGTTTCTGGCACTACTATCCATTCCAGTTATCTCAAAACTTTTTCCTTCCTCTCTTTGCTAAACTCTTTTATAATTTTCTAGTACAAATACAAATCTGTAAATGAAGTTATATAGATTATTTCTCATGTACACACGTATGAGGGCACAACAGACCTGGTCAGTTAAAAAGGCAAGGACAGTAAGCAAAGCCAATACAGCTGAATCTTCTTTATCTGTTATCAGTCCCAATATAATACTTACACAAACAAGGAAAGGGGAAGTTGAATGTGATAAAATAAAATGTCAACCATGAGACTGTACAAGAAGTCACCCTTACATGCGGTTACACTGGATCTTGTTTCCATATGACAGCGCGGTGCTGATATTTTCAGAAACACCCGTGTCGCAGAGCCTCGTTCCTCCGTACGTCAACTCACAGGAAACAGAGAAATACTCATAACTAAAACCGAAAGCAACACAAACATAGTGCTCATATCAGAGATATAGTTAACCTTTGTGTCCATATATCACGTATTTGTGTATCTGTATGTGTGTACATACACACGTAAAAACGTGTGTGTGTGTTTGTATGTGACCAGAAAATGCATACATACACGGTCAGCCAGCTGAGTTGCAGATTGTAGAGGGCAGCAACGTTGAATTGGCAGATTTCAGTGTTTTCCTCAACGTCATGTGTTTGCGGGTTGCATGTTACCTCCTGACCTCTGAAGTCTGACTGGAAGTTGTCAAAAAAGATCTGCAGCACTTTGAGCAGCGCCCCATGGAGCATGATTATCGCTAGAGTACAGCACAGAGAATAAACATCAAATCAAAAAAAATGTTAATATACCAAATGGGTCATTTTACTTTACTTTTACTACATTTTACCTTTAGTGTCCCTATTAAACATTTATAAAGCAGTCTACAAATATTTAATAAATGGGTCATAAGACACTATAATATAATTATAAGCAGATAAGGACATTTTCAAATGTTTATTAATGCACAGTGTTTGTCAACAATTACAACTCATCATATGAAGACATTTTGTATTATTAGAATTTTACTATATTGTCATTCATTATTGTTTATAGAACGGCATACATACACAGTAGGAGTTATAGGTTGTGACAAATAAATGAATAAACACTTATATCTGCATGTTACAAAACTATCCATTAAATATTTATATACTGCTTATAAATAGGACTCATCGCTGTTCACTCATTCACTCATAGCAGTAATCTATACTCTAGTACACTATAGTGGGCACTAAACTGAGAAGTCAGCCACTCTTGAATCATCATTATTTTGCATCATCGACAGGTGTAATGTTCCACAGCAGTTAAATTTTAATTAATAATTTTTGCATCTAGAGAATGAACCGCATTGCATTGTGGATAGTGCACATGCTGTGTGAGCCGTTCTGAGGGCACTGTATGGGGCATATTTAACTCAGAATTCAGACACCCAAATAAAATGACAGACAGTAAATATTGGGCGCTACATAGTAAATAGGGAGTTAAAATTTTAGTTTAAATTGCTGTGCCTATCTGACAGTGGTCTTGCAACACTTCATTGCCTGCTGTTTCTTGTTGACTTGGTAATGTCCCTGGTTCGATTCCAGCCCAGGACCTTTACTGTATAGCATACCCCCCCCCCCACCCCCCACTTCTGTATCTCTACTGTGACCATCAAATTAAAACACACACACACACACACACACACACACACACACACACACACACACACACACACACCAATGCCACACCAATGTAGTTGAGTAATACTTACTCACCACTTTCACACTCAAATATTTCCTCATGACTCTGTAAAGAAGATAAGCAAATAGAGCTGATCAGTTGATCACTGGAATGAGGAGTTATTGTCTTCTTCCTCACTACACTATTGTTGGTTCACTCGCAATACCTCGACAAAGCCGTGGCAATGTTCTTTTACAGAAAGAAAAGAGTGGCTTAAAGCAGAGTTCAAAAATGACACACACTAAAAAGGCAAAGGGCTCAAAACAGATACGATTGCTGTGCATGATTACACTTAATGTAAGAAAAGTGTCACAAATGTGAGTAATATCGTACCAAAGGCATGGGGTTGAGTCTGTTGAGGCGACTGATGGCGTCCTCCAACTCCTGACATGAGAACCCACACAGTAGACTGCTGACGGTGCGAACATGATCCACAAGCACTTTAACGTTCATCCCAGACTACAGATATGATGAGATCAGATCCAAGAATCAAAATCAAATACTGATGGACATGTGTGTGAGAGAAATACACGTACATGTCCCCCACTAGTTAACTTGTCTTTACTCACCTTACTTTTCATAACCTCTGTCACCTCTCTGTTCAAACTACTGAGCACATCCTGCAGGCTCAACCTGAGAGAGGAGGGCAGGTTAAACACACACAAATGAAAAAGTGGTAGGGAGCCATAAAGTCAAGCTACCTTTCCTAATGTTTTCTACAAACAGACATCAGTTGATGCATGACCCACTGAACAGTTGTTGTCACCAAAACACATTTTACAAAGCCAACGTGGAATGCAGGATTACTTGTCATCTTACTTGCAGGTGTCGAAGACACAGGCAGGACGCAGGAACTTGTACACTAGGCACGGGGTCCTGTCGTCTGCGCCCTTAGACAAGAAACAATAGTTTAAATACTGATTGCTTTGTAGGATTGTGGCATTTTTTTGTGTAGTGTTTTTGAATAATACAGAATCGTATAATCGAAAATACATAAAGCATGTACAGTCATGAAATGGCAGTGACATTTGTATTTAGGTTTTTATGATAATTTTAGGACACATTAGGTTCACTTATTTTGTTTCATTTTTGCTGCTAAATGCCACCAGTCATGACGTTATGTGTAAACAGAGCAAAGTCAAGATAACAGGGTGGAGGTTTTTACAGCTGCAATAGCCCTGATAGCCATGGGCCAGGCACATGAGTTTTTGAAGGCAGCATTTGAAGTCTAAAGACAAGCCCTTCTTGGTAAATGATCTATACTGTAGGTGGGAACAGAGAAGGAGTTTGAACCGACTTACATCCCTGGCCAGACGATATTTGAGGTTGTCGACATGGAGCAGTCGGAGGGGGACTACTACTTGAAACTTGTTGTAGATCTGAATAGTCTCATGCATACCCAGCAGTTCATCACTGAAGAGAGATAGGGGAAAGTACATACAGTCCACCAGATTAATCAATCAATGTGGAAATACACCATATTTGAATAGAGCATCACAGACCAGGACATCAAAGGTTATAGATAATTCAACATTGATTTCTGGATTAGTGACTTACTTTCGGAGGTATTCTTCAGAGTCGCAAAGTTTTAGAAGATAATGGCCACTTGTTCTGGGAGGGAGATCCAGCAGCTGGAAGATTTGATCAATCAGACTCTTCACTGTCCTGTTCACTGGATAAAAATTGAGAGTTCAGAGTCCACACACTTCTGCCAATATCTGCAGGGACTTAAGACAGACACTGTAGTGTTTGACAAACATGGATCATAAGGTGTGGTATAAAGAACAACTCACAGTCTACAAGGGCACTTCGGAATGAAATTATTATTACTTCCGCCAAGGAAGTTATGTTTTCACTCATGTATGTTAGTTTGTTTGGTTGACAGGGGGATTACAGAAAAAGTACTGAACCAATTTGCACCAAACCTGGAGGGTGGAGGGATGGGGAACAGGCCAGGGAAGAACACATTCAATTTTGGGGCAGATCCAGATAAAGGGGTGGATCCAGGATCTTTTTTTCTTTCCTATATATTGTGAAATATGGCATTTTTCTAGATTTTGTCAATTTCTCAAGAAATAATCTAAAAAACAAAAATCTGACATATTTGAGATATATGACTTATCTCAGGCATGTAGGATTGTTTGGCCACCGATGAGTTGTGCACTCTACTGAGTGTTATAGTGTTTTTTCTTAATTTATACATTTTGATTTTCACAGACAATAAGTGACAAACCATGACATGACATTGAATTCAACACATACAGGATTTAGAATGCGTATAATGTCCACATCGTTCTTCCTGAATCAAATGATCTATACTTTATTCTCCATTACCACAGCTCTTTCTTACTAATTATGTCTTTATCTGTGCCCACATATTACTTTGACCTGTACAATTATGTTGTACATCGCTATGTCAATATATTATCTAAACCAGTTACTATAACAGTCCTTTCTCAGTATTTTCCAGTTCATTAAGAAAGAACTGTATGTAATAAGATACTGTGTTTGCTTTCGCTTCACATTCTCATCTCTTCATTCTCTCTGGGGATAGATGGACTGCCATTATTGTAAGTACCTCTGCATAACTGAGGGTAGAGGGCTAGTAAATAAGTATCTTACCGGGGGTGGGGAAGGGGACCTGCTGATTCTCCCACTCAGTGGCCACACTGACAGTCACCTCCACCTGCTGCAGCAGCGCAGGGTGAATTTGTAACAATCGACCCCATACCACACCTGAGTTATGAACACTGTCTGTGTGTTTGTGCTGCGACATCAGCCTGCCAGAGACGGTAAAGACAAACAGGTTGCCAATGTGAGAGTGAAAGTATGATGATATACTATATATGTTCTATACTTTACCTTTTTAAACAACTAACACTGCAGAGGATCCAGTGTCAGAAAGTTACAACGATGACAAAATGAATACTATGATATACAGTATACAAAATTATAGATATCGTTTTATTTTGAGAGGTCAGCCGTCTTAAGGGTTGATATTTTAAACAAAACTTTTTAAACTCATACAGCATATTATATCTAATTTACATATCAAAAAGATATTGGTGTAATGTTGGATACTTAATATTTAGGAACACATTTCGGTATCATTCTCTTACCTGGAAGTTGCGTCACAAAAAGAAGCGAGCCTCTTGGTGCTGCCTTGTGGAGTGTCTATTAGATTCACGGTCCATGGCTCCTGATGTCAATAAAAGATAAACAGACCAACTATACTTAGGCCTTTTTTCTGATCTTACCACTTTTAATTTGGGTCACTTTATTCAGCTATAAAAGAGGTTTCTGTCTCACATACTCACATGATTGTCTATTTCTGTCCTGGAACGGTTCAGTTTGTGAGCAGGCTCAGTGAGGCCAGAGGAAAACTGCTTTTTGCTGTTGCAGAGGGGTACTCGTGTTCTGGGGGGAACAGGGGGGGCTTTACGGCCTGATTTACCTGGCAAACATGCACTTGGAAGCCTGGTTCTGGGTGGAGGGGGAGGGGCACGGACTGGAAGAGGCCCATTTGTGCCTTGGTGGTCAGTATTCCCTGTACCTCCTCTGCCTTGAGCCCAGAGATGGCCTTGGGGTTGTGGTTGTGGTTCAGTTGGGGATAGGAGCCCAGACAAGGTGCACTCATACAAATGTGTTTCATCATTTTCAGGAAAGACCTCAATGTACTCGTAAATGTGTGTTCCGTGAAGATCCTCTCTCAGAGGCATGGGGAAGTCAGTGTCACTTGCGTTTTGTCTCTGGATTGTTCCATTTCGCCTTTCAGGAGGATCCATCACATTGTAGGGCAAAAGTCATACAAGTCCTCCTGGATGGTCTCAGTATGTCCTCACTTCATAGTATCGCAGAATGAAGAACTGTGTGCTATTATGACGCAAAGAGAATCATAATAAAATCAGAATTGCAAATTAATTACATTAGTGTATGAGACTTCAGTGCAGGCAGGAAAAGTAAGCTGTTTTACGACTGAACCTGAGGGTTTATGCTGGTCTAATGATTAACAACCTTTCAAATCTTAACAGGAAATCTACCAGAGCGCGCCACTAAGACAAAGGCAATACTTTGTTACACTTGTGTAAAGTGAAACATAACAGCACTCTTCTTCAAAACCAACACTATCATTACATTATGCCTTGAAGCTTTATGTCCTTATCCCAAGATAACTGAAATTAAAATTGTGTTCAGTCAAAACTAAAATCCAGCCTGGTAAAATATTAAATAAAATAAACTTTGTAGATTACTGAAGCTCTCACCTTTACTAAAAGCAGCCTGTATGTTCACAGTTCACATTTTAAGATTAGCTACACATACATAGATTAATCTATTAGTTGACTTACCATCAGAGATGGGTTAACTGGTTTTCTAGCCTGTGTCAACAAGGTGAAGGCTCGATTCTGAGACCATGCTCAGCAAGTTAGACTGGTACATGATTTGGAGAGGCTCCCATCTGTCTTTCCTCGCCCCTCCCACTATCCCTCCCCCTCCTCCCCCTCTGCAGCCCACAACAACCCTCCGTCCTCCCTCTGCTGGAGGAGACAGAGTATTACATGTGTGGTGGAGATAACCTAGCTGCACTTACACCAAACACCAGAGGCCTCTACTCCGAAACAAGTTCATCATACCCAGGATAGATTTTCATTGTCTGGCTTCACAAAGCCGAACAACTGTGGTCACATGACGGGGTTGATCAACTCAGGTTTTCTCGAGCGCCTACATTTAAAAGGGGCGGTGCTTGCTGCATCAGACCAGTCAGACACATGGACATGTCTGCTGGCAGCAGAGCGGAATATTTTACATATGAAGAGCGAGCTGTAGTGTTAGACAAATATGAAGAAGTTAAACACATAATTCAGGCTTAAAGCAGCAGTTGCAGCTGCCAAATGCAGGAGGTACACATGCCAAAAAACCCGTCGACTGTGTGAATGCGTAAGTTAATAGACTTATATATCAGTGCACCAATATTAGGACACAAATAGATCTGACTGTAATTAATTACATCTGTCTATGAATGTGTTGCTTACATTTATTCTTATGGCGTGTATGACACTTTTAGCCTTATTCTTTCATCTGCCACATCGGCGGTGTCACACGGAGTTGAGAGCAAATAAAAAAATCAATATAAACCATAACTCAAAGCGCTGAGTAGGTTACTGTAATATCTTATAGGGACAAGAAACACAAGGCTTTAAGTGCTTCATTCAGTCTCTGCTGTAGAATGATATCGGTATTTAAACACAAAGAAATGGCTTTGACATCCAAGAGGAAAAGAGTGACATAAAGACAGGATTGACCCTCTGCAACAATGAAGGTCACTTATAAAGAGTCATCAGGGAAAACCAAAGGCACGTGGGAGAAGCTTGCCTTAAAGCCTTTCTGCCAGAAAGCTTTTCCACGTGATTATGTTGTGAAAGGGTCTATTTTAACCCAAACCATGACCTTTTCCCAAACCCAGCCAAATAGTTTGATTGTCTAAATTTAACGAAACTGCATCTGAAAACAGAAGACCTCTCTGCCAGGGGTGGCCCTAATGAGTCTGCCAGCGAGCAGTCTGGGAGGTTTAAGTCTGGATTGGTGATCCCCCCACATTACTAAATAACCTGGGCCAGACATCGGTACTGACCAGGTTCAGGACTAGATTTCTCCTCTGATTGTTTGGAGGGGTGTTTCGGAGTTAAATTGGCCCATAACTCCTGTAGTCTGAGCCTGGCTTCAGGTGTCCAGCATAAGTTACCATGGTGATTTATGAAAAGACGTGAACCACCGTTGTGAGCCTGAAAATCCAGGATTAAACCTGAATTTTTTTTTTTCAATTTTGGCCTTCGTAAAACCAATTAACATAATATACCCCATTGTGCAGTAATTACTCATACAGGAAAGCTACCGGTATTTCATTGTGGTAAAAAAAAACTTCCTTGTGCATGTAGTTAACTCATCTGTCTAGTTCAACTAAACCAACAGACTATAGCACATCTACTGCTCACGCAGGAATGTCACTGAGCAGGTTGAGGTATGTAGCACTGTGTTACTGTAAGTGTGTTTTCTATGAACTGAAATGAAAGCAACAAGAAGGAAATGTGTGCTCACAGTCTCCATAAATGACACACAAGGTAAGATTAAATTACTCGGGTTTTTTAGTTGAGGAATGTTTTGGGTATTTATTAGGTCGTTCTTTGTACTGTCATCAACTTCCTGTTCAGGTCATCTGAAACACTTTAAAACCTAGACACTGAAGCTCAGATTACCAATCTCATAGCAAACTGTGTGTGATTGTTTGACTCTCTGTAGTGGTATTTATGAGTCTTGCTGGGGTTGATAAAGCCCAACATGGCCTTACACTGGGAATGACAGCAACGGCAATCCACTGAATGTCTCACGAAGGTGTCGGCTGAGGTGCACGGAGCAGAGGGGTGTGCTGTATGGAGGCGGAGATCGAGCAGAAAGAAATGCATTTCAACCACACTACTCCCCACATCTCACCCCTCAACCCCAAACCTGGATTTCCTGGTTACTATGCACTCATCCCCTTTGTACTACTCATACTGATTGGATGTGTAGTGGCAGTGGTAAGATCAGTACTGTTATATCTGGTTTTCATTATGCATATTTCATTTCACTTCACTGCACCACCGGCTTAGTATTAAATGTGTATTGTTGTACTTCTCTGTAGGTTGTTTACATTCGGAGGAAAGCAAGGTAAGTTAATTTCTGTGGTTTGAGCAGCCTTTTCGGATCCGTTTTGTATCTTTTATGTTCTGTCACAATTTGGTCTTTTTCATAGTTTTTTTTCCTTCAGATTAGATGAGCTACGTCACAGACTGATTCCTCTGTACAGCTACGACCCCGCAGAGGAACAAGACTGGAGCGATGGTGGCAGGGAGGATGAGGATGAGGAGCTGGCTGTAAGCAAACCACTACAGCTTTTACTAATCACATACAATAAGACCGCCATTAATGAAAATGTTCACTTCATCCAGAATTTGTTTTTCTCTTTTCTTGACAGGAACCTTTGTACAAGGAGGGAAAGCTGTCCTTTTCATCTGGTTATGGAACTTGAAAAAGAAAAGAATGTGCCCAATTAGAGGAAGGATTTCTTCTTTTATATTTTGTATTACGGATGCTATACAAATGTAGACTGGTTGCTGTTTATATAAATATTTGGAAAGTATCTTGAGGAGATAATCTTTCAGCAAATATATGTGAAACTGTAGAGGATCCAGTTAGAAAAAGTTGTATTGATGATCAAATGAATGAGAAATCGAACAGTTAATGGCATAACAACAAATAATTAAATCACTATTTCTTCCTTTGTATTATGTTTATGCAGCACACCAGACAGTAGATGGCACTGTAATCCTGTCTTTTGTCTGATTTGAGAAATATGTTTTTTTTAAAGACTATACAAAGTGTTTTGAAGGATAAGGGAAGATGGGCAATAAACTGGACGCTAAAATCCCATTTTTAATCTTTGTTGTTTGTGTTGTGTGCATATTTCTGATGTTGTTTATGAATTGAGCTCAAATAGCTTCAAAGACACACCTGTTTCTGCTTAGTAATCAGCAGCTTTCCTGATGTTTGGAGGTTTCACAGGCTGACACAACTTCACGTTCATACAGGAAGATGGGATCACAGAGAAAGAACAGGTGAACAACGCACCTACACAAACGACGGAAAACCATACAAGCACTAATTGATGCATGTGACTAATTTTATGAAAACATGTTTCCAATTTGTGCTTCTGTGTGTGTGTATTTACATTAGTCTGGGCGTCCGTCAGTTGGGACCACACTGGTTCCTGACCTCCATCTTGTTGGCTACAGCTCTGGTCCTCCCGGCTCTAACTCTGGACAGCCTGCTGTGTTACTACTGTCCTCTGCAGCATAGAGGCAAGTCCTGCGCTAACATCACCAGTCAGTGTCTGCCTGATCAGCGCTGTTCCAGCTCCAGAGGTCGCTATGGCTCCGTCCACATCCTGTCTGCTCAGGGCTGCGTGGACAGTGAACTCTGTGGTTCCCATGAACTCCTCTCTTATAGGGGCGTCAAGTACAACGTCAGCCACACCTGCTGCTGCAAAGACAAGTGTAATGGCCGGCCAAAGTCTGAGGCCGGCCTGAAGAAGCTACTGGGGATGACCAAAGACAAAACTGATTACACCAACGTCTCTAATTTTCTTAGAGAGGAGCCTTGGGATTCATGTGCAAACTACACATCATTAAGGACCACCACATTACCTGCTGCTGCGTAAAAGGAGTACTTGTAGGAGACTGGGGAGAGGCCTATCAGTCATAGGCGCTTATCCGAGTCTGTGAAATATAAGTAACATGTGGTCAAATGTTTATAATGTGATGATTAGTTTTTTTTTTGCTAAATGAATGTGTAAATGATCAGTGTTTTGTGTGCTTACTTTTTTGCTCCGGAGAGAAAAGCCATCCTCCTGGTGTATTTCAAAGAATAAATGCTCCATTTAAAAAAAAAAAAAAAAAAAAAAGATTATATGCTGACATTATCTGTGTGGTTATTGATAAATGAAGCTCAATAAAAGCAAAATGATTAAGCTCCCGTTTGATGTGGTTGGTCTGAATTGATGTTACAAACAGGTGTGTTAGAAGGTGTGGCCTGTGTAGGAGGATCTGGTGGTGAGACTAATGTTCATGTGGAGAAGAGTTTTGTCTGTTTGATTAGATTTAAAATGTGCAGGTGAGTCATCATAGTACTACTAGTACTTTTTTTTTTTTTTAAGTTGCACATTTAAATTACCGTATATTTCTTCCATCAGTTTCTACCTTTACAACCTTAAGCACATTGAATGTGACAATCAGTAGAAATCATGAACACTTGCGCAAGGCTTAGTAATGTCAATGACTGAACTTACTGAATTTCTGTGGCTCTTTCACTACCATTCTTGCAAGGAGGAAAAACATGAAACTGAAAGATGACAAGCGGTAAAAGATGACTAAGTGACTTTACATGTCAATATATTAATCAGGGGAGTACTACAGAGCTTGTGAAATGGTTATATGAAGTCTTTTGTGACTCTGGATGAGCTTTGTCCAGTCTGAAATAATTACTCAAGTGATGTGACCTGATGTTGGATTGTAGACATTGTGTTTATGTAGTTGTATAATCAGAAGTTTTGGAACTAGTGATTTTAGAGCTTGACCTATACTGTTTTTATTAATCTCTCTGAACTTAAGTGATGGTTAATACTAAATTACTGATGTACTCCTTAAATTTAGTGATTTTATTTTAACATTTAACATTTTAGGTCATGCCAATAAAATACCACATGCCTCTCTCCTCCTTGCAGGCTGAACATGTTGCAGGTCCTGCATGTTTCTGTGCTGTGGTTCTACCTTCTCCTCCCCTCGCTGCTATGCGACAACCTG